ACAAAATCATCTTAAATCATGTTCAGTCCATCATTGTAATATGAAACCAGTTCATCAAAAGTAGAGAAATCAGATTTACTAGAAGAGCTGGCAAGTTCAACAGCAAGGGTTGGCACATCAATGTTCTTAATATTCCGAAATGTGATTAGATGACATGGATTTACCTTAAAAACTGCCAGTTGGGCACAAAAAGACACCAACAGGTGATCTGATATGGACAGATCAGAAACAGTACAATTATAAGGTGTTATACCAGAACAGCAAACAAGATCAAGAGTATGCCCCTTAGAATGAGTGGGCAGTGTGTTAAATTGCTGCACACCAAAGCAATCCAAGCATGATACAAATTCACTTGTAAATGCATTACTGACATTATCTATATGAATGTTAAAATCACCCAGCATAATAACATTTGGAGACATGGAACATAGATAAGTCAAGAGTTCAGAAAGTTCAGTTAAAAAGGCATTATTGCTCTTGGGAGGGCGGTAAATAGTTGTGAGGATGGTAGGAATCGCCCCATTCATTTTTAAGGCAATTGATTCAAATGAAGTATATGCAGGCAAAGTTAACTCAGATACTTTCAATTTCTCTTTATAAAGTATCGCTAGCCCCCCTCCCCGTCCCGTAACACGGGATTTACAAACATAACCATATCCTGGGGGAACAGACTGGTTTAGATGAAAAAAGTCAGCTGGTTTCTGCCACGTCTCAGTTAAACAGAGAAAGTCAAACTTACGGTCAGACAATAGATCATACACTTTTTAGCAGTACTCCAGTTACTCCAGCAGCCTACATGCTGTGAACTGTCTGCCGAGTTTCATAAAGAAGGTGAAATGAAAAAAGGAAAGGTTCTAATGTGTCTTGCTGAACAGTGCAAAGTGTAACAAGTAACATTTCACGAGTTCGCCTGCCCATCCAGTCCTGATGGTTAATGGTAAACGAACTTGGCTTGCTGTCCTTAATGGAGGCTCGAACCTGAGGCTCAGCTTGAGCACCGAGTTCAACTCCCCATTGCCGTACTACCTAGAGGAAGAAAAACAGAAATAGAGGAGGAGATGGGGAGGTGTAGGGATGCCAGAAGAATTTCCGCTTGGGATAGTGCAATGAGAGCTGCTTATATAGGCTCGTAATGATGATTGACAGGACTGAATGATTAGGCTCCTCCCGAACCTACGTTTGGAACTTAATTTAGTGCAAATACAACTGATCTGATCAGAGGTGGACAAAATACACAACTCTATTACTTGAAAGTACAGATACTGCTGTTCAAATATTGCTCCATTACACGTGAAAGTTGTAAAGACAGATTTTTACTTAAGTAAAAGTACAGAAGTACTTGCTTTTCAAAGTACTTAATTACCAAAAAGTACCAAAAGTAAATTTCATTTCTTATGTCAACACACTGTTTTATTATTGTTGTATGTAATACTTGCAATGCCTTATGCCTCTGAAGCAACTTACAATACATTATATACCTACTGAATACACTGACTATATCTTTGTAATGAAGAGCTTTTCACATCTATGTATAGACATTCATCCACATTTGAACTGAATGGACAGTGAAATTGCTGTAAATACAGACTGATAAGAAAAAAAAAACCTGCTTTAAAACCCAGCAACACAACTGTAACTGTATAACTGTACAACAGCAACACACAAAAAAAGCTAGATTTATTTGACATTATCATTCTCAGTGTTCTGACGTCATACACAGAACGGTCTGTGCAGTGGTGCTTCAAGTCAAAGTTCAAGTCATTGTGTTTTGTTAGGAAATGCAAAACATTTCTTCTGTGGCTTTATAGGTAATATTTTCATTTACACAATTTTGCAAAATCAGACAAAATTGTGTCTTAATATATTCCACAATATTAACTTATTATTGAATTGTTGTAAACAAATATCACATTTGCAAGTGGTCAGAGTTCAAAAAATGCTGGGAAATCACTTCATGCTGTTACGGGGCAAGCAAGATGTGCAGATCCTGCAAAGCTTTTATTTAAAAGGGGTGGTCATAAAACAGGCAAGGTTCTGACAATGGCAAACAGGTATATTGAGGGCAAGACAAAAGAGTAATCCAAAACGGGCGTGAGTCAGTCGACAGTGAACGTTATCCAGAGGGCTTGACAAGAGGGGAAATCCAATAACACAAGCAAAAGCCAAGGCGAGGTGCAAACACAGTCCGAAACAGAAAGGCAAAGGGTTGATCCAAGATAAACAGGCAAGAATCAGGTAACACGGGAAAGCAGACAAGACAAGACTATGACTAGGAACTAAGGACTAGAGACTAGTGATGTTACATATGACACTGAAGCTTCAACGCGCGTATCAAGTACGCAGCGCAATTTCTCACGAAGCTCTGTGCCGGAGCGCGTATTGTTTTCAGAGAATCACGTGATCAACGAAAAACGAAGCCTCACTTTCTGTCCAATCACGTGCGCGTGTCAAGTGTTCGAACCCACAGATCTTACTTTACGTACATTTTCATTCAGACTTATTCAAATAAATACCCAGTCATACAAGTAATATGAAGAATAAAAAAAAAATTTGCCATAAGCAATTCATATAGGCCCCTATGTGTGCATTATTCTTCAATCATATTGATTTTCATACTGGCATTTAGCCACAGCTTAATGGGTAAATTATTTTATCAGAGAGAGAAATTCAACAAACAAACAAACACACACTGTTAGGCTTTTATTTGTGCACGTAACATGAGTTGATGGAATTTGTGGTCGCTGCTTCGTCCGACGGAGCGTCTTTCACAGGTTTTTGGCTGCCAAATTTCTTATTAACCACCAGATGGCACTGTTTTTGACACTCTCGAAGCTTTTCCCGAAACAGTCAGAGGAAAGCCTCAATGCTTCATGAGGCTTCATTTGCCCCTCACTACTAGAAACTAGGACAGAAAACTGGCTCCGTAATGTGCTACCACTAGGAGAGCGATATACGCAAACAATACTCAGTGATTAGAGAAGGATTTGAGTGGTTGTTATATAGTGTGTGTGTGATTGGCTGCAGGTGAGTCCAATCAGTGCAATGGAGCATGGGAAATGAAGTCCAGGGTGATGTGCAACAGTTTGTGTGGCGTGAGAGTCAATGTAATCAGAAGGCGGCCTCTGGTGGCGAGCAGATGAAAGATCACGGACAGGATTCATGACACACCTTTGCGCTACAACAGCGATTGCTGAAAAGAGAAGTCTAAAAAAAACTCTTAGAGAAGAAAAACGTTTTAGAGAAGAAAAAGAATCTCCCACTGACTTTCAAAGCTGCTACGTAGTAACGACTTTCTACTTTGAGGACCTTGATATAAATGTGGATTGAAAAGTACAATATTTATCATTCAAATGTAGTGGTTAAAGTCATAAGTTTCCAGAAAAATAATACTCAAGTGAAGTGCAGATACTCAAAAAGTGTATTTCCACAGATTTAAAGAATTGATTCAGAGTCATTGACAAAAGGAGAGTCAGATAATTATTTTTCCCCCTCCCACTTTAAAAAAAAAATTTGCCATAAGCAATTCATATAGGCCCCTATGTGTGCATTATTCTTCAATCATATTGATTTTCATACTGGCATTTAGCCACAGCTTAATGGGTAAATTATTTTATCAGAGAGAGAAATTCAACAAACAAACAAACACACACTGTTAGGCTTTTATTTGTGCACGTAACATGAGTTGATGGAATTTGTGGTCGCTGCTTCGTCCGACGGAGCGTCTTTCACAGGTTTTTGGCTGCCAAATTTCTTATTAACCACCAGATGGCACTGTTTTTGACACTCTCGAAGCTTTTCCCGAAACAGTCAGAGGAAAGCCTCAATGCTTCATGAGGCTTCATTTGCCCCTCACTACTAGAAACTAGGACAGAAAACTGGCTCCGTAATGTGCTACCACTAGGAGAGCGATATACGCAAACAATACTCAGTGATTAGAGAAGGATTTGAGTGGTTGTTATATAGTGTGTGTGTGATTGGCTGCAGGTGAGTCCAATCAGTGCAATGGAGCATGGGAAATGAAGTCCAGGGTGATGTGCAACAGTTTGTGTGGCGTGAGAGTCAATGTAATCAGAAGGCGGCCTCTGGTGGCGAGCAGATGAAAGATCACGGACAGGATTCATGACACACCTTTGCGCTACAACAGCGATTGCTGAAAAGAGAAGTCTAAAAAAAACTCTTAGAGAAGAAAAACGTTTTAGAGAAGAAAAAGAATCTCCCACTGACTTTCAAAGCTGCTACGTAGTAACGACTTTCTACTTTGAGGACCTTGATATAAATGTGGATTGAAAAGTACAATATTTATCATTCAAATGTAGTGGTTAAAGTCATAAGTTTCCAGAAAAATAATACTCAAGTGAAGTGCAGATACTCAAAAAGTGTATTTCCACAGATTTAAAGAATTGATTCAGAGTCATTGACAAAAGGAGAGTCAGATAATTATTTTTCCCCCTCCCACTTTGCTGTCCCCATAACTGTCCAGTCCAGATCCATTTACATGCTTAAATTATTCAACTCTGGCAAGTGGGGGTTTAAACTCAGCACACTTTGAGACAATGTTGAAATCTCTTCTGAAACGGGAGATAAGTGTGAGATTGCTGGATGTTGTCTTATTTTAGCAGAAGTCTCCTTTTGGTCTCCTGTTCATTTACCGTTTGTCTAGTAGAAATGGAAGGAACCGGATAGAAATAAGAATTTGCAATGATTATTGTCTTGTGTGATAACAGGTGTCTAATACTGGGCAGTCTCTCCAAACTTTTGGCTCGGCCTCTCTGAACATCCTGTGGCCGTACGAGCTGATCAATAGGAAGTGGCTGTTGTATCCGAGTGCTCTGCAGGTGGACGGCCAGCCTCACACTCACTGTGAACCCCAGTCAGCGCTCAACCCTCTGCGCCTGGACCTCGACCAGCCGCCGCAGACCGAAAACCTTAAGGTACACACAAGCACCCATCAAATGAAGCCGCTGGTCACTGATCAATGCAAGTACTGAGTGAGACGTTTATCTGTGAACAGGGCAGCAGAAAGGTGCGCTCGCATCTGGACACCAAAGAAGACCTTATTCCCAAAAGCCCAGTAGGAAAAATCACTCCAGCTGTTTCTGCATCTGAGAGAAGGAAGTCTCTCACACTGGTGAGTGCGAACCAGGACAGTAGACAAAGTTAGAAATTCTTTTCTGCCATATATTATTTTATAGTCTGGGGTTGTGGGTGATGTATCTGTTGGTGTGTTTCAGGATTGTTTACTAGGCTCTGCACGCTGTCTGCTCTTCCAGTGTCCTCTACTCTCATTCTCCAGCTCGATCCATTTCAGGATCCGAGCGCACATGTGGAACAGCACTTTCATTGAGGTGAATGATTGTTTTTAATATTAACACAGTGGGGCTAATACAGAAAGGAGTTCATATTTACTGTACATTATAAAAATGATTTCAAAAGATGGAAACTCATTTACGCTTAACTTCAGACAAGAAAACAGTGCCAAAGCAATCACCATAAACACATATAGCACAAGCCCACAGCCAGTGAAATATTATCCATATATGTGCACAGTGTTTATCCGGTTCATATATACGTATGTCATGCACAACGGATTGCAGTGCTTCAGTGTGAAGCGAGGTGAGTTTTAAAACGCAAGTAACATCACAACTCTTAGAGAGAGTAGCAGCAGTCCTGCATTTTCTCCGTTTGCAGACAATATATTGTACCATGGAATGATGAGCACCCAGATTTTTAACTGTGCGTTACAGAGACGGTTGTGATGGTGTAGGTGTTGGTAAACCCCTGGTCTCAGCCTCAGAGCAGCCACAGTCCGTTTACTGATCATCCAGCGCATAATGTGCACAAAACTGGAGAACTCCGATCAGATTACCTGACTGATGTACATAATAAAATAATTCCTGGATTTGCATGTTTGAAAGATACTCAGACTTTTTGATCAAGACACTTAGTAACAAGTAAACAAAATGTCCTTGTGCAGAAATGAGTATTCTAGTAATATTCTAATTAGCGTTTCTTAGTTTTAAATGGACAGAAATTCCAATTACAAAATTTGCACTAAAATGTTCTCCTGGTCTGCTGTGCCCTTGTTTGCACATTTTCTTCCATGCTGGTCTGTTACTGTAATATGATTGCATTCAGATACAGTCACCTCAAGCAGTTTATTAATCAAATTTATATAATAAAAGATGACGATTTTCAATATTAATTGCACTACCATTCAAAAGTTCGGGGTCAATACAGTATTTCTTAAGAAATAATACTTTTATTAATTAAGGATGCATTAAATGATCAAGTAAAGACATTTATAATGTTACAAAAGATTCTATTTAAGATAAATGCTGTTCTTTTGAACTTTCTATTCATCAAAGAATACTGAAAAATAAACTTTGAAAAAAATGATTTGCAGAAAGATATGAAGCAGCGCAACTGCTTGCTTGATAATAATAATCAGAAATGCAAATCAGCCTGGAGTAATGATGCTGAAAATTCAGCTTTCATGGGAATAAATAACATTTGAACATATATTCACGTAGATATCGGTTATTTTAAACTGTAATAATATTTCACAATATTACTGCCTTCATTGTATTTCTGAACAAATAATATGTTATAAAATTGCTGCAATGCTGATGAAGCTTTAATACAAAGTTTTTCTAATCGAATCTAATATTCCGGCGTATTTGTAGGTTGTTTTATCGGCTCATCCAATTCGACTGCAGAAGCAGAACTCTCAGTACAGTGTTCACTTTTTCACTTTCTGTCCATTAGGAGTTTCCATCTGTCAGTGCTGTGGAGCTGCTGGTCAGAGCCAATATCACCATAAAATCCAACATTAGACACCTGGTGCTGAAGGACGCTGCTACACAGGTCAGATAACACACACTCACTGGTGATCACACATTCTCACATCTGAGCATGTTCATGGTAACGTATTAATTTCTGTGTGTGTGCAGGTGTCAGTGATGATTTACCCAGAGCACGGGCTCTCAGACCAGCACAGCATCCCATGGTGGATCATTCTCATTGCTGTCCTGGCTGGAATTATTGTTCTCGCGCTGCTCGTGTGTTTACTGTGGAAGGTAAGTGTGCACCTGCACCCTCTCAACAAGCATCTTTATTGCAGACGAAGTGAATCCATGATATTACCACACAACCTGCACCCATGACTTTGGTGATTTCTCACTTGTTTGACTACTGTCCTGGTGAATGTCCAAAAGAATTTGGCTTGATGACATGGTTGCTGTCTGATTAATCAGTGGAGTGGCGGTTTAGTAATTACTGGTTGCCAGTCATGTGCTTTTATGGACACAGTCTAGCAATTTACTTTTGGATTCTCCTCCTAAAAAAAAAAAACCGCTCCATGTTTTATGACCTTTTTTCCAATGTATCTGTATATAGCAAAGCAGCTTTGCAGCAAACAGAGCTGCTATGGCTCACTCTTTAAGATGTTTAAGAAAGAAGGAACTGAGACAACTGCAGTGGTCAGATGAAACATCTTTCACTTTATGAAACATTGGACTCAAAAGTCAGTCTGCTGTCATTTAAAGGCATGAAAACGAACCCTAAAAATGAACATAATAAAAATCTACTCGCCCTCATGTTGTTCCCAAACTCTTTTCCATCCAAAGGAAATGATTGGGGGAAGTGCTGTAAATGACTGAAAACAGCACGAATGTTTCATAAAAGCAGCCCATACAACTAGCTATACGATAGGAGGCAAGCACAGTTGTCATTCGCTCATAAAAGATGACGGAATTCTTATTCGTGGATGTACTTAATGAAGTGCACCTATGTAAAAGTGCTCATTGTGCATATGTGACGAAATTGATTCCCTCTTCCTACTATGCATTCTATTGTCTTATAACGTTTATCATAATATTTCCTCAGTTCTAATTATTTAACCACCCATTGCTAGTTCCTCCTGTTTTCTTCTCTGTACCTACATTTGTTTGCATATTTCTGCTATATATTCCCGTCTGGTGGAGCAGTGTGGTTTTTTCAAGCGCACGGAGAGGCAGCCTCAGTATGAAACCGAGTATTACCGCGCTCAACTGCAGCTGCAGCCATCTGATGTGGAGAGGAAGCAGGCCACTGAACTTCACTAAGAGCCTCATCCAGCCTGATCTTCCTCCAGCACATCCGTCATGTGGTACAGCTCCGTTCTGCAGTGGAGTGTGCTGCTGTGCTGTGGCTTTCCAAACTATAAGTGTCATGGCATGTTAACCAGTATTTGAATAATAATAGGCATGACGAACAACTTAACATCCATGATCTAATACAGGGCTGCCCAACCCTGTTCCTGGAGCGCTACCTTCCTGCAGAGTCCAGCTCAAACCTTGATCAAACACAACTGAACCAACTAATTAGGATCTGAAGGAGTACTTGATAATTACAGACAGGTGTGTTTGATCAGGGCTGGAACTGAACTCTGCAGGAAGGTAGATCTCCAGGAACAGGGTTGGGCAGCCCTGATCTAATACGAGTCACTGTCATTGAAGCGCCATTGAGACAAGGCACCAGGGCCATGCCTTCTTAATTTGCTAAACCGCTAGGGAATCTCTCCCTAGGAAATTCCCCCAGAATTACAAGCCACTTGATTTGAGATTTATATTTGTAAATAACGTTTGATGGCAGTGGTATCAGTGACGCAAGGCAGAACAAGCAATGAATTTCCTGTAACAATAGATAATAATTGAGCAAATTAAAGAACACAGATCATTTCCATAATTAGCGTAGAGTCACAAACAAGTAGAGCCTGTGATAATCAAGTGCAGTTGGCATTAAATAATGATGCGAATACCAATAAATTGACAAGCACATACCTTAATAAATCGCCTTGCATGATTTATTCTAAATGAATACATCTGAAAGTGAAGCAATAAGGTCAGCCACAAAAATAACTCTCTCCACTCCACTAATTGTTCACTGTAAGGGTGTTACATACTCTTACTCAACATATAAACATCATTAAAAGGATAGTTCACCCAAAAATTCTGTCATTAATTACTCGCCCTCATGTCGTTCTAAACCCGTAAGACCTTCGTTCATCTTCGGAACTCAAATTAAGATATTTTTGATGCAATCTGAGAGCTCTCTGACCCTCCCATAGACAGCAAGGATCCTAACACGATCAAGGCTCAGAAACGGAGCAAGGACATCGTTAAAATAATCCATGTGGCATTAGTGGTTCAACCGCAATTTTATGAAGCTACGAGAATACTTTTTGTGCACAAAGAAAACAAAAATAACAACTTTAATCAACAATTCGTCTCCCCCGCATCACCCTGTAGCGCCATTTTGGAGAGTATCACATACGTAAACAAAGTATGCTGTTCGGTGTCAGCTGCACTGTACTTGGATACGTTGTTTACGCTTTGATCTGAACGTAAACAACGTATCTGTGTACGTTGTCAGAGAAATCTCTGAATTCATCAAAAATATTTTTATTTGTGTTCCGAAGATGAACAAAGGTCTTACAGGCTTGGAACGACATGAAGGCGAGTAATTAACGACAGAATTTTCATTTCTGGGTGAACTATCCCTTTAAGAAACATTATAGCCTTCTTAAAAAAAATTAAAGCCTGCAGATCATTGAAGATCAAGGATGATGGAAATCTGCTTTGTATTCAGTGCAATACTACACCCTGACTGACTAAAAGTTTGATAAAAGTACGGGCAAAATATTAGATGCGAGTAAGAGTTGTTAGACTCTTAGCTTACACCCAACTTTGGGTCAAATATGGACTAACCCAACTGTTGGGTTACATTTTTACATTAAGTGTTTAACCCAAAAGTTGGGTTAGTCCATATTTGACCCAAAGTTGGGTTGAAACAACCCAGCATTTTTTAGAGTGTAGCTTGTGTGTGAAGGGCATCAAAATATCTAATAAGCAGTTGCAGAGCACTTTATCACTCTAAAAAAAATAAGTTAAAAAAAGAGTTTGAAGCTGAAATAGACCAAGCATGGTTTAAATTAATGTCTTGCCACACCTGCCAATGGAGTACATTGTTATTATGACAATGGAATGGAAGTTTAAACCTTAGAATAACAGGTAAAATCTCTCCCATGATTTTAACCTGGTTATTAAACAAACAAAATTTTTTTTATCTCATTGTGCTTTCTCTTTTACAGTGTGGTTTCTTCCAAAGGGTTCGGTATAAAGATAAAGTGCCCCAGTATAAGGCTGTGAAGATCCTGCGGCAAGAGAAACAGTTTCAGGACAAGACTTTTATTTTGCACAAAAAACAATGGGCTACCCACTGGAGTGATGGGACAATCTAATCTAATATGCATCCTTTTGTCCTCAGCAACATGTACGCTAACCAGAGAATGCAGTGGACTCGCACTGACCTTAAACATACACAGCAACAGATTTTTATTCAGCATTTTATAAGTTGCATTTTTCATTGCTCTGCAGATTGAAAGAAACTTTCAGAAGGACAGCTGGATCTAGCTGGAGATAGACCGTATATAAATGGAAATATATGTACCTAGTATTAAAACCACTGTTTAATGTATTAATGTTGAATTCAGTGTAATAATGGTGTTTGTGAACTCATAAAACAGCTGTGGTTCGGTGTCATCTACAATGCAGTGCCTTTAGAACTTTGAAACATTTGAATACTGAAACATATTTTAAGGGTCTTTATATCATACGAGGAACATGATCAAGTTTTCAATTCGCAATAAACTTAGCATGCATCATCCAAAGACCCTCGTGATAAAAAGCTATTACGTTAAGTCAATTTTATTTGTTTAGCATTTTTCATCATTCCAAAGCAGATTTACAGAAAGTCATACTGTTTTATCTATAATGCCTTAAGCCCAATCCTTCAGCTGTCATGCTGGTGTCATGCAGCAGCTGACGGTATGCTGGCGAGGTTTGCCAATTGCTATTAAAAGAAAAAGACGCTCAAATAAACCCCAAAAAAGAAGAAATGTGCATGTGTGATGCACGAGAACCTGCAAGGTCTGTTCTAGCACGTCACACATGTGTGAGCTTCTGTGTTCAGGGTATTTGATGCACACTTTTCTAACGATCTCTTACTTTTATCTGCCGTCAAACCGTCTGAGACGTCGTTATAACATGCTGCTATGGGTTGCATCTTCGGATTTGACTGACAGACTGATGTTCTGACACTGCAAGCTTCCATGTTGAAATTATTCTACTTACTGTACATATAAAATACAAGATGTTTACTGTATATCAGCAGTGCCATATTCACAATTGGGACCACACACAGTCTGTTTACAATGTCTACCATTGTGACATGTTTCCATCTATGAAAGTCTTTATATAGTGTGTGGATAGAAAGAGAGTGTATCTTATAATTATATATTACTTTTACTCTGTGCACAACTCTGTATAAATTGGATTGATTTTAATAACTTTAATGTACTTTAATTGTGCACCAGACACTAGGAATATATAAGTATCAGCTCGTGACTCGGTACTGGCAGATACCCAATATTCAATGACTAGGATCAGATCGGGGCACAGAAAAACCTGATCGGGATATCCCTAAATAAGAGAATAGCAGGCGATATCTACAGTACGGTTCAATGCTGCAAACTTCATATTCTATTTACCCAAGTTAAAGCCGGAGGCGCTCTGGCGCAGAAACTCGTACAAGGAAATCCCTAATATGGACAAAAGCATCCAGCTATCGCTATATAAAAACTGTTGTTTTCACAGAAACGTTTGGAAACATGAAGACATTAAACATACGATTGTGACAATATATGGTTTATTTGTGTTTGTCAAGTCATCTCAAGGTAATGAATAAAGTATATGAACAATGCAGTGCTAACTGACATAGCATTTATTACAGGATAGAAAGTATTCTGCCTTATGTGATAAAAAAAATTGTTTGTAGTATGTAAGCAAATCATTATTATTGGTTATTGTCCAGCAGTTATCTGATTTCTAAGCCAATTAGCTAGAAATTAGAGAAAAATTAAAGTTGACTATCCACCAGTCAAAAGTTTTTGAACAGTAAGATTTTTAATGTTTTATAAAGAAGTCTCTTCTGTTCACCAAGCCTGCATTTATTTGATCCAAAGTACAGCAAAACAGTAACATTTTGAAATATTTTTACTAGGCTATTTAAAATAACTATTTTCTATTTGAATATATTTTAAAATGTAATTTATAGTGATTTCAAAGCTACATTTCTTGCATCATTACTCCAGTCACACGATCCTTCAGAAATCATTCTGATGTTCTGATTTGCTGCTCAAAAAACATTAATAATAATAATAATTTAAAAAGGTTTCTTGAGCAGCAGATCAGCATATTATACTGATTTCTGAAGATCATGTGACACTGAAGACTGGAGGAATGATGCTGAAAATACAGCTGCACATCACAGCAGTCATTATTCAAATAGAAAGCAGTTATTTTAAATAGTAAAAATATTTCAAAATGTTACTGCTTTTGCTGTACTTTGGATCAAATAAATGCAGGCTTGGTGAGCAGAAGAGACTTCTTTATAAAACATAAAAAATCTTACTGATCAAAAACTGGTAGGTTATATAGATTACAGAAATGTTATATTGTAATGTTTTATATATATATATTGTATATACAATACGACAGATATGTTCCCCGAACTAGAAAATACAAAAGAACAATTTTAATACGTCCAAACCAATTTAAGGGTAACAATTTAATTTATGTTTAACAAATAAAAAACAGATGTAATACGGATAAACAAATGATAAAGCTTGGCTTATTGAATATTAGACCCCTTTCTACGAAAGAGCTTTTTGTAAATTAGGCTATATGATCACTTGCAGCACATCTACATTTGAAATAAAGAACTTGAGCGTGCAAAAGACGTGACATGTGAACGGCCCTTAGGTTAGAGGTCTGCACGGGACTGATAGGTTCTATTCCGCACCCACCCGCTCCCAATCACTCTTTGTTCACCCGCTGACTGCTTAGAATAATTTTCACCCCGACCCCACCGGGATCTATTTTAGATCTCATTTCCAGAATCTCACATTTAAATTTCCACCACTGAAAGAGAGAGAACAAATAAATGACGTAAATAATGTAGTCTGCAAAAAATTGCTCTTTTGTAGAAACTTAAGAATCTTATTTTGTAGAAACTTAAGTTGCTTTGCAACGATTTGTATCATGATAAGCGCTATACCAATAAATTTTAATTATTTTATTCGTCTTGTCAAGATGCAATTCGTTTTACATTTTGCTGTCAACACAATAGGAAAAAGTGTCGCAGAGAAAAAAAATGTAGGTTGTACAAAAATTTTAGCCTATTTCTTATTTTTATTGGTCTTGTTAAAATACATTTTTTTTTTACATTTTGCTGTCAACACAGTAGGAAAATTGTCGCAGAGAAAAAACAAACAAAAAACAAATTTGACATCTGTCATTTAAAATTATAAGCAAAATATGAACAAAACAGTTGGCTTGTAGCCATTGCGAAATGAAATCACTTTTTAACAGAACAATTTAACATCCCTGAGAAGAATGTCCCGAGTCAGACTTGCCTGATGTGGGTTTCTTACCAGTAAACTGACCATTTTCCAGTCAAGTTGAACGTCCTTCAAGGACAGTGCATCCACACTTTGCCATCCTTATTCTGCGCTGTCACTCATCGACAACCTGCCTGTCCTGTCTGAGGGCTGTATATTTGCCACCGGTTTAGCCTGCTCTGAGGACCGTTATACACATGCTGCACGCAGACCCCGCATTAAATGCGTGACGCAGAAAGTGCTGGTCCATGTGTGCAACGTGTGCATATCAGTCCTGAGTGCAGGCTGTACCAGTGGTTAATAAGTGTATGCTGTTCTGAAAGGATGTCGGGAACGGGATACACAAATTACACTAGAGTTACTGACCACTACCGCATTTTATTCGGGAATTTAATCCCGCGTCGGGACAAGATTGTCCCGCTCTCACAAGATTGAATGCACAGATCCAATACTGATACACATGCGTTTTCTTTCTCAACTGTTTGTGAGGATACTCGCCAGGACGGCCATTTCGACATCACATTTTACAAGCCACACCCATGATTGTTGACGGACACTTCCGTATTAGCAGAGACCCCGCCCTGAGTGAGCAGCACACATTCCTCCATGTTTATCTTCACGCTAGTCTTATTAAAGCTATAGACGTTGTTCAGTCCAGAGCAGTGAGTGATTTTCTGCTTTTATTTTATTGTTTGGGTCATATAGACCAATTTGGGGTAGACGTCACAGTTACGTCACTTGCAGCTGCGTGCGCATCGTGGTGGCAGAAAAACACTGGTAACAAGTGGAGGGCAACGGGTAAGATCCATGGAATAAGAGAAAAATATATTTTGTGCCTTTGGATGTCAGAATCAGAATGCAAATCATTTTCATAGAATACTGTTGTCAAAGACGCCATTTGAAGATAATTGCAGACGTTTAAACGGACGAAATGGATGAAAAGTGCTGATTACTTTTAAAGCATAAATTTGATTCAAACAATAGGTCTACATAATATTTAACCATAATATTACATAATCAGCTACTACGCGGCATCTCTTACCGTCAGCAAGAGCTATGCCCAGTGATCTTGGTGAGAAACCATTAGGCCCAAAGCAGCCTGTTTTACCAGAATTTCCAACAAAATTCACTACGGGTGGGGGGTCCTGTAGTGAAAGGCCTCCTGTAGCGAATCGATGCGTTTTTGTAAGAAAAATATCCTTATTTAAAATGTTATAAATACTTTTCTCTCACTCCCGCTGACTTTCATACGTGCAAGCTGTAAAAGGCACAGCACTATTCTGGAAAAGGGATGGGGGAGCAGCAGCTCATTTGCATTTAAAGAGACATGCACGAAAACAGCCCGTTTCTGCCTCCATTCTAAATAGGTATTTTCAAAATGATATAATAAATGATATGTGGGGTATTTTGAGCTGAAACGCCACAGACACATTTCTCTCCCCATTATTAGAACGCATATAAACTATCGGATGATTCGTTTTTCTTTTGTCTGACAAAAGTTATATCTTGTTCATTTCATCTGTGGCAAAAATGGTGTATTTGCAACAACAGGAAGCAGTTTATTTCTAGGGCTGCCTTTTCAACTGGTCCTCTGACTACAAGCATCAGAAGAATTGAGCATGTTCAATGTCAATTTATCAACAGAAGGTATAATATAGTAGTCACAGGAGCACAAATGCAATCTATGGCACCATTTATTGACATAAGATGCACAATATTCATGAATAAGATAAAAATCTCATCTGTGATCTCACTGATAAATGCATTAATGTTATACTTGACTAAATTAACAAAATTGGCATTAGCAGCTTCAAAAGCAATTTAATGTGACATTGGCAACAAAGAAAAAATGTAAATGAATTAACGCAATAAACACAAAAAAGCAATTTAGTGAAGCACAACTATGTTATGATTAGAAGGTATTTATGATACACAATTTGATATAGTTGAGAGTATAGGTAAGAAAGTCTTCTATCACCTA